ACCCTGATGGTGAGAGGAGCCCTCTTCTAAAGTCAAAGTGTACAGACTCCATGCTGAAAGGTATGATGGGGAAGGGCCTGAAGATTAGGGAAATGTACAGTGGAATGAAAATATTTGAGATATCTCTGCTTCAACTTTAATGTTTCCTTTTCTTCTAAAACAACAGAAATCATTTTCCACAGGACTTCCTTTGCAGTCTTCAGACTTAGTCTGAAGTCTACTTCAAATTTATGTCTAGATTCAGTAGTTTTCATATTGTCACTTACAGTGTAATTCTCTGCAATGTACAGTAATAAAATATTCTGATCACATGGAAATGAGACTTTCATGCATTCAGCTCAATTAAGAGTGCATTCACAGCTCATACCTCAGTAGCAATGTAATTCTACAGATAAAATGGTCTGCAGTATGAACTCAATGAGAGCACCTTTGTTCAGCATGATCGCAGCTCTTGGAATGAGGCACATAAAGAGCATTTTATCAACAATGCCCATCGTTTCACAGTTTAAACACCTCTGAAATATGGATTCTTTAAAAAAAAACATAACTTAGCTCTATGTTCTTAATGATAGATAAAATAGTGCCTTTAACAAATTATGGTGTTTCAGAATAGGTGAAATACAGCAACCGATGTTACATTTAGTTTGTTATCTCAGGATAAACTGCAATCCGTGGTTTAAACTCAGGGGAGCACTTACTGCACAAACCTTCTGCCACTCGAGCCACACTGATCTCCTTATCTGTTTTCGTTTTTTGGATAGTACTGGGGTTTAAACTCAGGACCTCATGCTCGCCAGGTAGGCACTCTACCACTTGAGCCACTCCACCAGACAGGCTTTATTTTTCATATTAGGGTCTCGCTTTTGTCTGAAACTTTCTTCAGACCACAATCTTCCTGCATTTGCCTCCTGAGTAGCTTAGATTACAGATGTGAGCCACCATACCAAGCTTGTTCTTTTTGAAATAGGATTTTACTATTTTCTTGCCTGACTGGCTTTGAATCACCATCCTCTTATCTCTGCCTTGCAAGCAGCTGGGATTATAGACATGTAACACCAAGCCAGGCTCCCTTATAACAAGTCTTCAAATGTATAATAGAATACGCTGTATAAGCACAATACTGTTTAAAAGATCTGTAAAACTTTTTGATCTTGCATATCAGAAAGTATGTATCATCTGAATAGCAATTCCTCATTTCCTGCTCCCCTCAGCTCCTGGAAACCATTTGCCTTCTATGAGTTTGACTACATTAGATGCTCCATATAAATATGTGAAATCATGTAGTATTTTTCTGTGACTGGCCTATTTCAGTTAGCATATTGCAGTCAAGATTCAGCCATCTTGTTGCATGGATAGAACTTCCTTCTTTATAAGCTAAACAACATCCAACTGTGTGTACATGCCCATCCATCCCCTAGTAGACACATGATCACTTTTTGCTTCTACAGTCTATGCATCAGGTATCATATGAGATTTCGAGTCCATGTCAAGAAACTCTTTACCTATGTTTTCTAAAAGCTTCAGTTTTAGGTCATATATTTCACTCATTAATCCATGTTGGGTTGACTTTTGTGCTAATAACTCAATTTCATTTTTTTGCATGATATCTTCAGTTTCCCCAAATCACATCTTTTTAAGAGACTATCCTTTCTCTACTGTATGTTCTTGACACCTTTGTCAATGATCATTGTGAAGGTTCACTGTGAAATTCACTGTGAAGGTTCATTTCAGGAATCTCTGTTTTGTCCACTGGTCTATACACTGGTGTGCATGTACCATACTGTGTTAATTATTATAGCTTTATTATGAAATCAGGATATGAAAGGCCTCCAGAATTTTTCTTTCTTAGGACTGTTTTTAGCTATTTGAGGTCTTTTGTGGTTCCATGTCAATTTTAGGTTTGGTTTTAATTTCCCTATAAAAAAAAGCCATTGGGATTTTTATAGATGTTGCATTAAACCTGTAGATTATGCTGGTAAGTATGGATCTTTTAACATAGTCTTCCAATTCCTCAGCAAAGTAAATAATTCCATTTATTTGGCTTTTTTAATTTCTTTCAGCAGTTCTCATACTTTTTGGTGTACAAGTTTTTTCTCTCTTTAGTTGTTTATCTCTTATTATTTTATTGCTTTGGGGTTACTATACATGGGACTGATTGATGGCTTCATTTCCTTTTGAAATTGTTTATGAATGCTGTATGGAAATGAAACCTACTTTTATACGTTGATTTTGAATCTTGAAAATTTTTTGTTTTTTTGATAGCACTTGAGCCACATCCAGAACACTGAATATCTTGCAACTTTATTGAATTACTTAATCAGTTCTCACAGGTCTTTCTCTGAATAATTTAGGGTTTTCTACTTATAGGACCATGGCTTTTGCAAACAATTTTGTTTCTTCAGTTCTGGTTTGGATGCCTTATTTCTTTTTCTTGCCAAACTGCTCTGGCTAGGACTTCCAATACCATGGTGAATGGAAGTAGTGAGAGTGAGCATCTTGTCTTTTTCCTCATCTTAGAGGAAAAGCTATCTGCTTTCAACTGGTGAGTATTACATTAGCTGTGGGCTTTTCTTATGTGGCCTTCATTATGTTGAGAAAATTTCGTTCTATGTCTAGGTGTCGTGTATTTTAATCATGAGTGGGTGTTTACTGTTGTCAAATGCTTTTTCTGTATCTATTTCAAGATGATATGATTTTCACCTTTATTCTTTAAAGATGCTGAAGCACACTGACTGATTTCGTATGTTAAAATATCCTTGCATCCCAGGGATACATCCATTTTGTCTTGGTGTTATGACTCTTTAGTGCAAAACTGAATTCAGTTTGCTAGAATTCATTAGAGATACTGGCCTGTAGTTTTATTTTGTTTATTTTTGTAGACTTTGCTTTTGGTGTCAGGTTAATGTTGGAATCATAAAATGAGTTTATGTTCTCTTCTTTTAAAAATTTTGGAAGAATTTAAGAAAGACTGGTATTAATTCTTCTTTAGAAATTTGGCAGAATTCACCAATTAAGCCATCTGGTCCTAGGCTTTTCTCTTTTGGGGGAGGTTTTATGATTACTGATTTAATCTCATCACTTATAGGTCTATTCAGAATTTCTATTTCTTTATGATTCAGGATAGATAGTTTTAAAGAAAACTGCCCATTGTTGTTTTAGAATCCTTTTTATTTCTACAGCAATAGTTGAAATGTACCCAATTTCATTTCTGATCTTGAATCAACTGTTTTCTTAATCTAGCTAAGTCTATCAGTTTTAGTTTCATTGTTTTTTTTCTCCAATGTTTAATTGTTCTCTATTCTGTTTATTTCTGCAATGATCTTTATTATTTCTTCCCTTCTGCTTCCTTTTGGATTATTCTTTTGCTAGTTACTTGAGGTGTATGTAAGGTTGTTTATCTGTGATCTTTATTCTGTTTTTTTAAAAATGTAGATGCTTCTTGCTATAAAGCTCCCTCTCAGAATTAATTTCATTGCACTTTGTAAATTTGGGTATGTTGTGTTTTCATTTTTGTCAAGATATTTTCTAATTTCCTTTTAGATTTTTTCTTTAACTCACTGATTGCTAAGAGATATTATTTAATATTGGACACATTTGTGAATTTTCCAATTTTCCTCCTGTAATTGATTTTTAGTTTCATTCCACTCTGGTCAGACAAGACACTTGGTATTTCAATCTTCTTAAATTTACTCACTTGCTTGTGCCCTACCATATGAACAATCTTGGATGGCATTCTATGTGCAATTGAGAGGAATGTGTATTAGGTTCTAGTTTTACAGAATGTTCTGCACATATCTGTTAAATTTTTTTGGTCTATAGTGTTGATAATTTTCTCCACATCTTTACCTTCTGTCTAGAGTGTGTTTCTATTGTTTAAAATGGTGTACTGAAATTTCTTCCTACAATTCTGTGGGTATCTATTTCTGCTTTCAGTTCTGCAATGCCTGCCTCTTTTATTAGGAGCTCTCATGTTGGCTGCATATATAATCATTACATTTTCTTGATGAATTCATCTTTTTATCATTATATGATATCCTTTTTCTGCTGTACAGTTTTTAACCTAAAGTCTATTCTGTCTGGTTCAAGTAGTCACCTCTGCTTCTTTGCGTTATCATTTACATGCAATTTATTTTCTTACTATTTTACTTTCAACCTATGTGTATCCTTAAATCTAAAGTGAGTTTTTTTGTAGGCAGAATATAATTAAAATATCATTTTTATCCACTAAGGTAGTCTACGTCTTTTGATCAGGGAATTCATCTATAATTCAAGTAGTTGTTGATCAAGAAGGTCTTATTTTCATGTTGTTAGTTCTTTCCTTTTTGTCCTGCAACTCTTTGTCCCTACTTTCTTTTCTTGCTATCATCTTTTATGTTTGGTTGACTGTTTGGAATGATAGGCTTTGAATGATTCTCATTTACTTCTGTGTATTTCCCACAGGTATTTTCTTTGTGGTTGCCATGAGGTTTACCTATATCTCATAACCATACCAATCTATTTTAAGTTTATAGCAACTTCATTACATAAAAATTCTACACCTTTACTTCTCCTCCACCATATTTCATGTTACTGATGTCCTAACTTACATGTTTTTATAGGGTATATTCATTAACATATTTCTATGGCTATAATTACTTTTTATATATTTGTCTTTCAATTTCTGTAAGAAATTTAAGTGATCCATGTACCACTGCTACAGTACTTTAATATTCTGTATTGTTTATACATTTACCTTGAAATCTCATATTCGTATCGTTTCAAACTGTTTAGTATATTTTTAAAAATTTTATTCTTATTGTTTTTAAACTTTAGACTCCAGAATCTAAAGACAATACTTCTTTTATGAATTAAAATGGCCAAAGAATATGCATCAGTGTTATAAACAAATATAAATCAGACTTGAGCTTCTGTTCTAAGACTTAGGGTACTGAACAATCTGTGCTTCTGAAACCAATAATATAGTTCTCGTTCATAAAACTGCCATCAATTCTGATACCTACCAGTTCCTTTGCTTAGATATGGGGGTTTAAAGAATTTCACAACACCATACACATTGACAACTGTACCACCCTTAAGTTGATTCAGGGGTGTATATATATAGTTTGTTGCTGGAACCTAAAAAAAGAAGAGAGAGGGATAATGTAATTTGATTTTATAAGTTCAGAATCACATTATGGTCATGTTTGTACATTACCAAATCTATTTAACTATATTTCATTCTTTTACTTGTCTAAATGATGAAAGCTGAAAAAAGGTAAATGCACAGCTTATAAAGGTTACTATATAAACCATCTAGTTTTCTGTACAAATAATTTTGTTTATAAATGGTGTAATTAGCACATCAGCCTATGAAAGCATAATTAATGTATAATTTAATTGAAACATACTTTTTCAATAAGTAGAAAACAGTATATTAGAATATCAATTAATGTATAAACTAAAGCATTAACATAAAACAATATTTTTAAAGTATGCTTATCTTCAGTGTAAGAGATCTAAGAAAAGAGAGTTTTACTAAAGGGAACATGCCAAGGTATAATGAGAATTTCTGCATGCCATGAAAGAGAAATTAGAATATTGGTCCTACCAATAAAGAATTCCATGTCTTGTAAGTACACTGGATATACCAAGAGTATTAAAGGCTATAATTGCCCCATCAATAATTAAACCATTATAGCTATCTTTACATTAGTATTTCCCTAACTTGTTTGGGCAAAGAAAACATATCCGGATATGCACCATACCGTTCTTAGAGAACATTCTAAAAACTGTAGTTAACAAAACTTTGGCTGTGGTTTTTAACTTTAATATCACCTTGAAACTTATAATCTCTCTCCTCTCCCCCACGTTTGTATTTTAAAAATATTTTACACACACTTGCATAAAGCTAGGTTTTTAAAGAAAACTAATCACTCAGGTCAAATGGAAGAAAGGGGCTTAGAAATCTTCAAAAGAAAGCCATGGCTCACCAGTGATTAAAGAAAAATGTTCAGCATAATAAAGAACAGAAGAAAAAAGATGTGTGCCTCAGCTGACAAAATAATGAGACCCAGTATTCTCTCTTTAACAAGTATCTCACTGATACCAAAATGAATGGGGAGAGACAAGTGCATCTCAAGAAGACTAGCCATTATGGTCATCCAAATAACTATTTGCTAATTCACAATCAAGAAAAATTTTCTAAATTATTAATTTGACTTCCATGTCAACCAGCCATTATTATAAACTAATAAATTGATAAATCTGCTTCCTAGCGATTCTCTACAAGTCTAGTCAATATATTCAAGCTGAACATATATTTGTGAACATGGTAAAGAAACTTACATAATAATAACCAATAATTAGGGAATAGTCCTTGCTGATAATAAAGTATGATATTCCTAAAGAAAGACTGTAGAGGGGGCATTCAAATCAGTTTGAACCTAAGGGACAAATCTGTGTTGAAGGAGATATGGCAGGATTAGTTAAGGAAAGTGATAAACAAAGGCTTCCTGAAGGTAGTGAAAATGTAAATACATAAAGAAAGAGAACAGTACTGGACATTACATTACACAATCAGGGATCTGCCAATAGTTTGACAAGATGGATACAAAAGCTATATGTATAACATCTATGACTCCAAGCTGTATTTTAGGATCCTACCAAGTCCCAGACTTATAAAAGGATCTAGTACTACTTATCATGGCGATGACTGTCAAGATACTTTATTATTCTATAAATTATCCTAAAAGAACCAGAATTTTACTGTCCAATAGAAATTTTGTAACAGGAATGTTCTACATCAACACTGCAGCAAATAATGACTAGTATAAGTTATGAACTGAATTTTAAATTTTAAGTAGCCACACATGATTAGTTGCTACAGATTTAGACAGCATGGGTCTAGATAATCACTTTGGCTTCAGATATTAAAACATTCATGAGAAACTCTGAGCTCAAAATATTTCCCAAGACACTTAGTATGTAGATCACTTGGTTTTCATTTCACACAGAAATGAAAAGATTTTTATGATACGATAGCTTAAGAGGCAGACCATTATGGACATTCTTAACTGTAAGAAAATATGAGCACTGAGGGTTGGGGATATAGCTCAGTGACAAGAGTACTTGTCTATCATGTATAAGACCCTGGGTTTGATCCCTAACACTACAAAAATTAGTAACAAAAATGACAATAATAAACACTAGTTTAAAATTCAATTGACAACATGTGCTGGAAGTTAACTAGTGGACAACAATCAAGTATAGCAGACAATATAAAACTGAGAAAAGACACTTTTCCTCCTTCCCTTTCGTCCATCCATTATTTAGCTGTGGGTCATGTATATTAAACAGGGTGCTGAAAGTAATGGTGTGACCAAAACATAACCAGCCCCCATTCTAATGGAAGGGAAAGTCCACAAAAAGGAAGAGAGGATGAGTTGTCTTAAAAAATTGCTTTGAGAGTTAGGGTGTTGCTAAGAGGTAAAGCATACACTTGGCAGAGCCTCTAATGAGATAAGCCAACAATGCTCTAAAGACAGAAAATAAATTCAACATGTTTAAAAAATCAGGTGTACATGGCTAGAGTGTACTGGTCATAGGTAGTAAGATTAGGGTGAACAGGAATACACGAGTTGGATTATGTTAGGCCTTCAGATTAAATAAGTAGGCCAAAGTTTTTAAATACTGAAGATTGTACAGGATCAAATCACTGTCCTTTGTTACTTGAAAAGGACAACCTTAATGTTACTAGAAAACTAAATACTCTGTTTCCTAAATTCTAACAGCATCCCTCGGCTGAAAACAGAAAACAACAAAAACAAAAAGTACTTTAAGAAAAGAAATAAGAACTTCATCAACAGTAACTCAATGATTTCTTTTCCTGTTTTCTTGATGATAATGGGGTTTAGAACTCAGGGTCTTGTGCTTTCACACTGCCAACTGAGCCATGCCTCTAGTCCTTTTTGCTTTAGATTTTTTTTTGAATTGTTTTTTTTAAGACAGGGTCTTGCTTTTTGCCCAAACTTACCTGGGACCACAATCCTCCTACCTATGCATCCCATGTAGCTTGTATTATAGGTGTGTACCACTTCTGCCTACCTTATTTATTGAGATGGGATCTAACTTTTTGCTCATGCTGGCCTCAAACTGTGATCCTCCTAATCTCCATCTTCCAAACAGCTGGGATTACAGTGGTGAGTCACCACACCCAGCCCACATGTTTTCTTGGTATCAACCAGAAGGTGCATGTTCATTTTAAAAGTGTAAAAGTGTAAAACAAACATCTTACAGTCAGAAAAATAATGTTCAATAAATCTGTATGTGACTTGTTTAATTTAGAATAGCTTGGCTTTGTGAAAAGTTTGGAGACTTTTTTTAGTTTTACCTTATTTATAGATGTTCAAAGAAATACGTAGTATTTGAAGCAATCAATATATAACAATTTTAGGAAATACTAATACCCAAGGATAATTCACATTTTATAAGGTACATCAACCCTTTTATTGATTAGTTTCTCCCAGAAATTCATTATATTGAACTCATAATTTCAATTATATTACTACTCAGCATTTAAAATCACTATCTCATAGTCAATGTCAAGAGGAAACAAAGTCCTTGTACACTATTTGCCCATTAGAAAATAAAGGTTTAAAAATGTAGGCAGAACAAAAGCATTGTATTAATCTTTATCGACATATTACCTTCTTTCCAGTTTCATTCATCTACAAGTAGCCCAACTATGAGAATGGGAACCAAATGTTATAGCAAAATTTTATAAAACAGCAAAAAAAATGGTTTGGAAAAGAAAAATGTATCACAAGTATAAAGGCGTCTTTATTTAAAAATTATATTATTTGGCACAACACAATTCAGCATATAATGAGTTTAAATATTAGCTGATTAGAAACAAAAGAAATGAATTTGCTTATGGATTAGAACTAATAAAAATCTCGATGTCTTAGTACAGTAAAAACTTCTAATTTTCTTGTGTATGTATATAGCTTATGTAAAATATCAGCAGAAATTTCAGAAAATGAAATAATCAGATATGAATTACTAGGTAAGTAAATAACTTGAATCTAACACTACCAAATATAAAAAATGTGAGAAGTATATTTTCCCACTATTTTGGTGCTATTTCAAAACCAAACTATAAAACAGACTAATTTAAAATCAAAGTACAAAACAGGTCAGAATACATAGTATATAAAAATGTGTGTGTGTATATGTGTGTGTACAGAAGCATGTATTCTAAATTAAATTAAGTATCATCTTACCAAAGACATGGATTCTGTGGAACAATCTCTTACAGACTTAACATAAGCCTAAAAAAAAAACAAAAAAAAAAAGAAAGGGGACTTATTTGTATGCAAACTACCTCCCATGTGATTATATGCTTTCAATTATGGTAAAACAATACACTTATCTGTACAATGCTCAAATTCCCTACAATGGCATAAAATTACAGATCATATGTTAAGAGTGACATGTACAAAGTTGTCTAAATTAAGTTCAAAAACTTAAAAGATAAAAGTCAAATAAAACTGTACCTTAAAAGAACAGAAACTTAAGTTTGAAGTACACCAATATTCACTTCTCAGAACAGAATGTAAGAGAATAAGCTTCTGTTAGTCCAAAGCAAGTAGGAAATTAGAGTTGATATTCAAAATTTTTAGTGGATGGCAACCTGGACATTTTCTGAAGAAAAAAGAAAAGGAAACATAGTAGTGATCACTTTTAACTGAAAATCTTACCCATCTTCAACCTAATTAATTTTAATATCAAATGGAGCTACCTGTAGCCCTTACAGTGCCTATGTACATACTAGAAAAAAAAAAATCCGACAGATATCGATCTACACAGATACAGGTTGGCCTAATTCTACCTAATAGTCTTGACCAAAGAGGTAGTTTTCAAGTGTGTGTATGGAAAAGGAGGTGAAGAAGAAGAGAATGATCATTTTTACAAAGGAGAAAATGCACTTTACTTAAAAACAGATACTTGATTAATTCAAAGTGAAATCAAGTAGCCTATGAAAACTGCCTGGTGGCATAATTACAAAGAATCTGATGAGGACTCGAGTAACTACAGTTTTTTAAATTCATTAGTAAAGATAATTAAATGCTGAAAAGGACATTTTAGTTAACAATGGACTGTGTATGTGACAATGGTCCCACAACATTATATCCCCTAGAGATATACTAGCCATCTTACTTTGTTAAATACACTCTATGATACTCACACAGTGATCAAATCACCTAATACTGCCAATCTCAGAATGCATTCGTCATTAACAGGTGCATGTATAAAGACCTTACTTTTTCACCTAGAGCCATGCTAAAAACATAAAACCCCCACCCCAAGTTTCAATTTTTAAACTTAAAATATTCAATTCTTAGGACTCAGAAAACAATACCCCAAAATATACTAGTTTGGACTTCAAACTGAAAGTACCCTACAAGCAGTAAATGCAGAGAAGGGCTTTTTCTGTAGTTTCCCAATCTACCTGAAGACCAGATAGGCCAAAGAGGTACATAACTGCCTTCACACCTTCTTAATGTAATTTTATTAACCAAGGAAGATTAAGCTCATATCATAGAGAGACTAAAAATGAAATGCCATATCCAGAGCCCAAAAGAACTTTGCATAAATACTACTTTCAAAACCCGAAAATAAAAGGTGTCTACTTACGTAAACAGTTGACTTGAAGTCTTTAAATGCTTTCAAGCATATGCAATGTTTAGCATCTCATTTGTTGAAGATCCGATAAAACAATAAATATGGCCACTGCAATGTTATCCGACATAGGAGAAAGAGATTTTCAATCAACCATTAAATACGTATAATTCTGAATACCATATGAATTCATACTTATACTGTTATGTATAAATAGCAACCACTTCCATAAAACGGAGAGTTGGAATCTGTGTAAACTGGCTTAATGCTTACTGAATATGATTTAGATTAATAATGCTTATTAAATATATGACTTAGATTACTACCTCCTCTGAAAGTCTTCAACATACCTAGCCACAATGAGACACACAGGAGTATAATGCCCTACTTTATGGACCAGAAAATCACTTCGATTTTTGTTTGTTAGTGGAACTTCAAAAATTAATGTCTGTCTCAGTTTATGTAAATGAGCGGCATAGATAAACATAGTAAGGATAAAAAAATGCAATTTAGAGTCTTTATTTTCATCCCCTACATGGGGAGTAGGAAATATTTCTCTCCTTTTATCCCCATTTTTTCCCACTTTTATGCTGTTACGCTAAATTCCTTTTCTAATAAACTTTGTAATTACTTTTACTACAAAATAGGAATTTAAATGAAAATAAAAAAGAACAGAGACTACATTGAGAAAAGCATGTCATTGGTGCAAAAACTATACTATTACAAAATTAATATATACTTAGGACAGAAGACATGAGATATTTCCATTTACTACTAATAAAAATATTTTCTCATCTATGTTTGTAACAGTAACAAAAAGCCACTTCTGTATCTCATTCTTCAGCTAGTTCTCTTTTGACTTTCTAAGATCAAAACATAAACACTTAAAGAGTTGTTGTAGCTTGATGCATTATGCACACTGTATTACATCATTCCTCCAAATCTTAAGACACAAAAATCCCTGGGTTTTAGGTCATTCACCTTCCTTCAATATCTTAAATCACTACCAAGTGGAAGTCTATTGCATTAATATGTTTTGCTCTATATACACAACAGTGTGGTGTCAATCCCCAGAATTCTCTATTAAGATTCATTAACTAGGCTGTGAGCACCTTGAAGACAGGGTCATATCTTACTTTGCTTTGTTTCTAGTGTATTTAAGGCACACTGCAGCCCTTCCATGAAAAACAGTCTATCAGTAAAAGGAAAACTCTTATGTTGTTTTTTCTAAACTCTCTAGTCTTAACCAAGTATTTTAGTTCTGCAAATTCCTGCATTATTTTTGTTTCACAAGAGACTGCAAACATAACTGTGCATGTGTGGGAGGGGGGATTAATAAATGGGTGAAACAATTCCTTCTCACTGGAGCTTTTATTTAATTCTATCATGTTAGGAAGTTTAAAGAGGGAATTAGAATAAACATGCTTTGGGAACAGTTTTTTTTTTTTTAACCCAAAAAGAAAAATACAATATGCTTTCTTCTGACCTCAGACCAAAATGTTCTAATGTAAATGAAAACTTAAGATTTTAGTTAAAGATTTTGTTATTTAATCAAATGAACAGTTTATCATTCTTAAAATCTCTTAAGAAGCACACATATTAAAAAAGAAACCTCCTACCTATCTCATCTTATTCTCTGTCATATTTTAAAACATTCTCAACTATAAACATATATGGAAAAAATAGGCCAAAAGTAAAGGATGTGGTACAGATAAAAAGTTTTGTGTTCATTTTCCTAAATAATCTAAAATTTCTATGATGGAGGAAAAACTAAATGACTAAAAGCTAGATATCGGCATTTATAAAAATGGTCAATCTATATTAATATTTATTATGCATAATTCAATAAGAAGTTAGTTTTCCCTGGCTTACACTTGACAGCATGGAAATAATTTTCAAGAAGTTTATGGATGGGCATGGTACTACATACCTGTAATCTTGGCTATGCAGCAGGCAGAGCAGGATGATCAAGAACTTGAAGGCAGCCTGGGCAAAGTTAGAGAGATCCTACCTTAAAAACAATGACAACAAAAAATGTACAAACAGAAGGGCTGGGCATATGGCTCACGTGGTATAGCAATGACTTATCACGTGCAAGGCCCTGGTTTCAATCCCTAGGACCATTAAAAAAAAAAGAAGGAAAATGTGTTTATTATATTTATAAATACAGATTTTTTTATGGACAAACTGCATTGAAAGCCTTTGGTGATCTCATCACAGCTGATCTTGCCTGCTTTATTTTCATATAACTTTCATTCAATAGTAGTTTTCTCATGTCTAGTGTTTTTCCACATATATTCTTGAACCCAAGAAGAGAACCCATTAGTAATTTTTTCACCACTTGCACATATCTACCTTTAAATTTCAGAGTCTGGGCTCAAATGTTTCTTCCTACTAAGGGCTATCTTAGATTGCCCCTCTCCAGAGAACACACCGAGATCTCAAAAGGTAGAAAAATCCCAACTTTACGCTATCTCACAAATGCTAATTAGCTAATATAGTTCTATTCTATTTAAACACGTATTTAAAACTTATTTCAATAAAATGTTTCCCATATCAGTTAAGGAAAATATATTAAACACATAATACATTGTACATGCTTTGCAGATACATTGTATGTTTTAAAATTCATTATACTCTTTTGTATTGTTTTCTAAATAAACATTTAATAAATATAAGAATTTTAAGGAAGGATAAGGATGAATAATTTACCAAAAACATAAGCAGATCCCTAATATTCAGTGCTACACATTTATTTTTGAAACATTTCTCTAAGATACCTAAAATATATTAAGCATAAATAATGTAATTGGCAAAACATGGATACTATAAAGTCATTTTGTGAATGATATGCACATGCAGACTTCTATATATGCATGCATATCTATATACACACACATGTGTTGTATATAAACTGGGAGTAATTTTGTCTAGAAAAAGGAACTGCAAGATGGCACTGAGTTCAGAGCAGGTAAGAAAACTTTCCTTTTCAGATTAAGAGTCTTTCACACTGGTTGAATGTTTTTAAAGCTATGACCACAAGTGAACAAAATATTTTAAGATGAATATTTGCAAGACCTTATTGAAATCCTTATCTCCTTGTGGAGATACTTTCTTCATGTAACCAAGTTCTCTAACATATTTTAGCCTTAGAGTGGTTACTTACATAATCAAAGTACTAATATACTAATAATCACCACAGAGTTAATAAAGGCTTAAGTAAGAGATATATATGGAATTATTTTGTAGTCCATAGACTTCTGTGCAAATGCAATACAATATTCTTAGTGAAAGATTTTAATTCTGAAAATTGAACTGGCTAAGTAGTAGAACATGGCTATAATAAACATTTGAAAACAAAAACATTTTCTGCCACCTATTCCTCAAACATAATCTAACCAATAGACCTTTAAAAAACTTACTATTTGCTACTGAACTATGTAAACTAAAAGGATAGGAAAAAGAACAGAAACTAAGTTTAGTCTTGAACTCACTAGAAATTAAAATTTAGGTCTCTTTACATCTTTCTACTTCAAAACATACAAATATTAGCCAGAAACCCTCTACAAATTAGGTGTTCCCAACAAAACATAAAGACACACATGTATGTGCACATCCAAATGCAGATAAACACCAAGAGCACAGAGAAAGAAGGAACTGAAAGACACACAGAGATTCATGCACTCAGGTAAAACAAATTTTGAAATGTTTTGTATAACAATTCTATCTAAAACATTTCCTCCAAGGATTTTTGTGTATTGTTTAAGAAATATTTCCAAAATTCTCTAGAAAATAAGATCAAAATTTTGTGTTCATATTAGCATCTGACTTTTATGAACACAATTTTTCTAAAAATGCAAGATTTTTATAATGCAATTTATAATATCAAATCAGTATTATTTCTCTATAATGTGGGCCTAGAGCTAAATACTCTTAGAATTCAGTATTAATTCAGCTTTACACTAAGATAGAATGACATGAAAGTCTGCCCTGAAAAAAGCAGATATTGATGACTGTGGATTCACAGATCTCTCTCAAAATGAAATTAAATTTATGGCTGACCTGAGGAAAAAAGTGATCCACACATGTCATTACACATTCTTTTGGCGGATCTGGGACTCTGTTGTGCCCATGTCCACACTCTTGAGATCCTGCACCCTCATCTTGAATACAGACTTAACTTTCATGAAAGTTAAGTCAACGTAAGTTCTGCAGGTTTAACTCATAAAACAGAATGCTAGAGCTTCTGATCATTCATTACAAGGATGTTTCTACCCTGAAGGAATGAGAGGTAGATAGATCAATGTCTGAATTATTAAAAAATATCAGAAGAGAAGAAAGAAAGGGCAATTTTAATAATCTCAGCAAATTGAAAGGATGCAGACTATAATTTCCTGGCCTAAATCCTTGAAATCTCTAAAATGTCAACAGTGTGCTTTGCTACAGAGAGAGGTTATCTGAAATAAGAACAAGAACTACTTTTCATATATTCAACAGCCGTGGAAATTAAATATTACTAGTTCGAAGTATTATGACAAAAATTACCATGGGTACTTATAAAACTGAACAATTGGGATGCCATAATGGCATTTATTTGTTGCTATGGTTTAAATATTTGTCCTCAAACACCATGTTGAAATTTAGCTGCCACTATTAACAGTATTAAGAGGAAGGTCTACCCTCAAGCACTAGATTAATACTTTTATAATAGGAGTTGCTCCCTTATCCACTTGCCTTCTATCACGTGATTATGAAGCATTCACAATGCCATGTTGGAATCAGCATCTCCATTATCTGCCAGTTTCTTGGTTATGTACTTCTCTGAATGCAGAATTGTACAACAGCACAAAACAGACTAAGACATCTGTTTTTAAACTTTTTTGTTTGGGGGGAAGGAGGTAGGAATGGAATTCCTTAAAAAAAAAATCTGTTGAAACTTAGTATTCACAAGCAATTTAGTCAATGAAATATATACAGAAATTTTCCTCTGTCTCCACAAAATACTGCACTGTCTAGTTTAAAGGAAAAATGATACATAAGTTGGCTTTCTAAGTAAGTGAATTTTTCCCTGTTAAACAGCTACTTATATTTTAACTTTCATTCATGGCCTTATTCCTCTCATTTTCATCATTTCTGAAGAATATCCTAAAATAAATGGCATGATTTTAGGTCTTTTTTTTTTTTTTTCTGATTCTGAGGTATTGAACTCAGGGCCTTGCACTTCCTAGGCAGGCACTATATAAACTGAGTCACTCTCAAGTCACTCAGGTCTTCTTAAAAATTGACTTAATAATAAAACAAAACAGTCACCTCAAATATTAATTAACTAAACTGATATAAAGCCATGCCTTCAAGGGAGGGAGTAATGGTAACAGGCCTTTATTACACATACACAGTAACAAAAGTACTGTATGAAAATACAGTTATATAAGGGCTTATTTAGAAACAAGAGGAAATGACTGCATGGTGCATGAGTTTTTCTTCACTTTATTTCCAAGTACCATCCTTGACAAAGACTGAACCTAACGTAACACTTCTTTTTTAGTATATTTGTCTTTTGAACTTCTCTGTACAATACCAAGGAGATTAATTAATTTTAAATACTTTATCTCAAATTTCTCTAGTGATCATTCTGAAAGAAGTGGCCTCATGAACTGTTTTACTGAGTTTTAGGACAGTTTATATAGCAACCGTCTGACTTCTTTAAATTACCACAAACTTGGTAACAGACTTACACAAGTAAAAGACTACTACAGAAGCTCTGAAGAGAAAGAGAGAGAGAGAGAGGGAGACAGAGAGAGAGAATACACTTGGCTTTGGCAATATTACCTAAAAAATTCTTGTAAATGAGGAAAAAAGTCAGATGCTCTAACAGTTTCATTGAAATTCATCTTTAGACTCTAAAGATGGGTTTTGCACAAATAGCACCATTTCTCAAGTTTCCTGAATTATTTATAAATCATAATTTCTCCAAATATAACGTATCTAAACTATCCAGAAATCTCAGCTAATTCAACTCCAGATTCAATCTGGCGATATTTATGTTACTCAGAGTACAATAACTAACTGGAAGAAAAGCAGGACCAAGTGCCAAATTTCTGGGCTCAGGGTTCAGACGTCCTTCCTCTGCTCTATCATTCCTCTCAATGGGCTGTATCTAACTACAAGAAAATAACTATCTAACAGGTGTCTTTTAATGAGTTCCTACTATGTTCTAATTATAGATATATTCAGTATCTAATTCTGACAATCCAAAAAAGTAGCTATTATTATCCCTATTTTAAAGAAAGTCCTGGGACTCAGGTACCTGACCACCCTGATGTGTCTAAAACATGCACTCACACTTCAGTCTTTGTTTCCTAATTCCTGTTTAGAACATGCTTATTTCAGATATCTGAAGGATCACTTCATTACCAAGTTTCTGTTCAAATGTCATTTTACCAGTCTTTCCTTCATCACCAGATAAAAACACATACTTCTCAACACCTTATCTCTCTTCCACTGCATTATTTTCTCCAAAGCGCTATTTACTTAAAAATGCATGTTCTTTTTTTATTGATTTATGTTGTCTTTCTCCACTAGGAAGTAAACTACATAATGAAACTTATTTTTTTGACCAACTAGTGCTAAGGAATAGGGCCTGGTTCCTAACAAGTATTAACAAATTGTTGAGTAAATGAGTAAATGGATACATACTAACTCTCTTACATTCTCCTCTAGCAAACTTAATGTACTCAGGAGTAAGATGTAAAATACAGTACTAGTAAGGTAAACTGCAGAAGTTTAGTTCTTACAAAATTGGCAGAGTTACAGCCACAGAAGACCAGACACCCAGCAAGCACTGGCTTTAGCAGCATAGCCTCTTAATAGGGGTATTCAGGGAAAGGAACAGAAAAATCACATTAGGATCCTGGGCTGAAATGGCCAGGAGGTCTTGCAGATCTCCAAAAAGTATTTCAATATTTTAAGAGCCAATATAGCCATGTACCTGTGCATACGGCTAAATACTAGTCATGACATATTCCTCATTCTTACAATTACTTAGACAATTCACCTGAACAACTGCTACAACTCACTCAACACTTACGAGGTATCATAATGACCTAATGAATCACATCCAGCTGATGTGAAAGGAACTGCAAGATGATGTCTAAGTCTGACTTATGAAAAGCTTCAATTCCCTGACCTGAAGGCCCCAAACATTACCAAAAACTTCTGCAGAATTCACATATTTATTTTCTCATTTTATTACAACACCAGCAACAAACAGAATTTTATGACTAAAGGTGGCTTTTCTTGAACAGTCAGTACTTCTAAGCTTTGCTATGTCGGTAATTTCCCACGTTTCCCCAAATAATTTAGAATATAGAATATAAAAGATTTTTCAAAAAAAAATCCCAACGGAAAAGGAAGTATTATTTCAGAATACACCAACAGCTTTTCCTTCAAAAGTTGCAGAGCTTAATTTTCTAGGCAATGCATTTCATAATGTCAAATGAACAGGAGATACACATACACAATTCTAGATTAACAAAATTTATAGAGAACATGTAATACCCAAGAATAGCTGCTTTAGTTCAAATATTTACTTAATGTAGCAAAAAGTAAAGAAAATTAGTATTTGGCATTTTAAAACATTCAAATTCAAAACTTAGGGAACAGATGTTCTTACAGTCATTTGACTGTCTCAAAACACTAAAAACTAAGCCCCTCTCCCACCACAAACACATGCACAAGTAGTCAGTTCTACACCAGTTTCATCAATGGTTCAGTTTTAATCATTCAGGATAGTTCTTCTTTGTGAAGCCTTCATAGTGATATCTCTACCTCAAGTTTCTATCCTGACAGACAAAACAAACTGAACAATAATTTGTGAAATAATTAGGTAAAGGCTGACTTCATATTTGATTATATAAAGAAATATTGTTATTTTAAGTGTAGTAATGAAATTCTGTTTATGTATATCCAAATAAATAGAAAAAAAGACATACAGAGATGTGTATAGACATGAATGCACTAATACTTCTCACTAAGAACTTAAGTTTAATATTAGGTACCATAACAGTACTAAGGCATACTCATTTTCGTATGTACATATACGCATATACATATATGCATAATTTTTAGAGCCTGAAGTTTTGTAGTTTAAATTATAGAATTCCTGAAATTTGACCCCAGATAGTCTATGGCAGTAAAATGAGCTTAAGATTAAATGAAGTAGCCAGTAACATGGAAGTTAAGTGATGGGTATCTGGACTTCATTAAATAATTACAATGTCTACATGTTTCAAATTTTCCATAGTAAAAAGTTTAATCAAATGCTTCTTTAAAAAACAAAAACCAGCTTACTGTTTTGAAGCTTTTCAAAAATCCTTTGGGCACATTCAATTTACTGAGGCTGCTACTAAAGCTCTATTATAGTCACGCCATTAAATGATTTCCCATTAGGCTGGAGACAGTGGACTCCAGAAGGCCAAAAACTGTATCTGAAACTGTATCTGGTTTCTCCAGTGTATAGCACAGTATCTTCCAAAATGTCAGCCCTTAATAATTGTTGATTGAATCTAAGTTAAAATAAAGACACAATACAGACAATCTCATTTGACTGTATGGTTTTGCAGAAAGCTGGACTTCTTTTTGTCATTTACTTGTTAGTAATAACCCTAATCAAAATAGATTGAAACCATTAGTCTAAAATGCCTGCAACACTGTTTTAAAAGAAAGGTACAATGCTAAAGAACTTCTTTGGAGACTTACTGCTGACTAACAACATATTTAATAGCTACATGGGTTGATATTAGTATGTGTCAAATTTGCTTTGGCAAATATCTACAGAATCTCCAATAAACATGAAAGATAGTATATAAGCCTTAAAGAAAATTAATTTTAATACACTTGTAGAAAAATCTGTAAGATTATCCTCCAAATAGTTGTTAATCTGTCTAATACAGTATATCAGCTACCTAGCTATTTAACTAGCTTGTTAAATAGTAACAATTTAAACTTAAACTATATAAAATTTAAAGCTTCTGTTCCTCAGTCACACCAACTACATTTCAAGTGCCCACTGTCTACAATATAAGTAATGGCTACAAAACTAGCAGTGCAGATGTAAAACATTTCTACCATCACAAACAGTTCTACTGGATGATGATATTCTACGGGACTTAGTCACTTAGATTCTCATTTTCAATCATATTATCTAAATATTGCATAGCAGGTGTGTATTTCTTTTATTTAGGCAGACAAAATTTGCCATTTCCATTCTTAAGAGTACAACTATGTAACATTAATTGCAAACACAAAGTTTGGCAAGTAACACTTTCAGTTCTAAAACATTTTTAACCCTAAATAGAAACTCTGTAATCATTAAATAGTAACTTCTAGTTTTTTCCTTCCCCCAAACCCTATTAATCTCTACTTTCTTATTCTATGAGATTGCTTTTACTACTATTAAGTGTAATCAAATGTAACACTTGTCATTTTGTGTTTGGCTTATTACTTAGTATTACATTTTCAGGGTTCATCCTTATTGTAGCATGTATCGAAAGTTATTCTTCTTTGTGGCTAAAGAATATTGTATTCTGGGGCTAGGGGCTTGGCTCAAGAGGTAGAGTGCCTGCTTAGCAAGCAGGAGGCCCTAAATTCAAACCCCAATACCACCAAAAAAATAAAAATAAAAATGAAATTCTATTTATGTATTGTTTTCACCACTAGTGAATAATGTTAAAATGAAAACTCATATACAAGTTGGTCATGTAGTAATAGCTCCAACCTATTTTCCACTAGGTCTGTACCATATTATAACCTTCATACTTTGAAGGTTCCTATTTCTCTACTTCTTGAATACTAATTCTTTTGTGTCCTTTTTTATTACAACCATTGTAGTGGGAATTAAGCAGTAATCCACTGTGGTTTTCATTTGCACTTCTCAACCTTTTCTCATGTGATTATTGGTCATTTGTGTATCTTCTCTGGAGAAATCACCAAATCACTTGCCTATTTTTTAACTGGATTATCTTTCTGTTGTTGAATACCAGTGGTGAAAGTAGATATCACTGTCAGCTACAGGTTTTGCATAAATGCCTTTTACTATGTTGAGGAAGCTACATCCTAATCCTAGTTTTCTGAATGTTTTTAATCAAGAAAGGTGCTGGGTTTTGTCATTTCTTCTGCATCAACTGATATGATATGAATTTTCCCCCCTTTTTTATTATGTAGTATATTGAAATGACAAGTTTTCTTATGTTGAACCATCTTTGCCCTCCAGGGATAAATCCTACTGAGTCAGGGTGTCTAATCCTTTTCATATGCTATTGGATAGCTTGGCTACTATTTTCTTGAGAATTTCACAGCCATGAATATTTTTTAAATAACTATAAGAAAGTATTATCAACATACAGAGTTACAGCACATATTAATTTTTAATTAAAATTATTTTTTACCAAGTGAGGGAGATTATACACACACACACACACACACACACACACATAAAATTTAGAGATTTAGTTGAATACTAGAAATGGAAATGAAGTAAAAGGAGAAATTCTCTTATGTTAATAACCATTTTCACTCAATCTCTTAGGACTTTTGCAATTTTAACGGTATCAGTTTTTTAAACTTTTTTTTTTATATAGCTAAAGATATATAGCAAATCTCAAAAAGTCTGTATGGTGAATAAAGCATGAGTCACAACTCTAAACCTACTTTTAAAACAATAAAAATAAAAACTTACCCCTTCATAGAAAACTTTCACACAGTCCTTTGTCAATTTTCCAAAAAATAATACATAGATGGTACTGACCTCTGAATTTGGATTTTCTCTCTCTGTTGAGTAAATCGTAAGAGACACACTTAGAAAAAGACACAGTAAATTTATACACATAAGAAAACTGATGACAACCATATTTTAAAACTATAATTGCTTTATAATATAATTTTGAAGAAAATAATTAAAATGATTATACTTCACATTCAGCTTGTTCTAACACCTTAAGTACTGCAAAACAATGCACTAAATGCTACCTACAAATTAAAACAAAAATTATGACAAGTTTCAACTAGATAATGTATATTGCATAAATTTCTATAAATATCACATTAAAGTATATAATTGCCACCTTCTTCTATGTGTGTTTATAACCAAAATAAATTTATTAAATCCTAATTAATAGGTTCAGAATGGCCTAACAGATCACCCCAGAATATTTCATTTTTACTTATGGTCAACTTTGAGTAATCAACACTTATCACTGTTCCATCTCCTATACTTTTCATTCATTATTTCTCAGTTATTGTTTTTATCAAAAGTATAAATAATTGAGTCTTTAACAACATACTAACTCTGCTCCTTTAAACTTCAATATATGGATGCTGGAAGAAAAGACCACAGTTGTCTAGATAAAACCTTAATGAAATAATTAGAGCACAAAGAAATTTCACTAACAAGGCTACAATCAATTCTCTAAAGGCCCTCCAAAAATATGCCCATAAGTAATGCATATTATACAACATATCAGGGCTCTATTCTAACGGTACATTATTTTAAAACTGAAAATATCTAAGCAATGAGTACCAAAAAGATATAATTATATTGCTCCTGTTATCTGTAAAACAATCCAAAAACATGAACCAAGGATCTAAGTACTTAAGACTAAAGGCTTTTTTAGTTGGCATGTATATTAACTAAGCACTTGATCTAAATGTAATAAACACTGAGGACCTGATAAGGAAATGCCAATTTACCAATTCTTTAATAATTAAGAAAGTGTTGAAGAGAGGGAGGGAAGTATTTAACATAGTGATCCACTCATTAAAGATGTTCAGTAAGTATCTGTGAGGAAAGGAAGGGTTAGAGACAAACCTAACAAGAGAAGTGGTAATCAGTCCTTCTAAATAATGGCACATCCTGGTAAGTCATTGTAACTGTGTGTGGGGTTGGGGGAAGGGGAGAAATTTAGCCAAGTTCTAAAAGGAACCTCACTGGGATCTTCTAGATTTTGTGACAATCTCAGTTATGTTCATTCTCCAAAGGTCACCCAACTCCTGCAAACCACTATAGCAAGACCAGATACCAAGATTCAATTCTATCATCTGACTTGTCTCATTCATATCAGTGTTCAAACATTCAACTATTCCAAGAAACTCCCTTATTAGATTTTCATGCACCTTGAAGTATATGAAAGATTTTTCTAAAATTTGCAGTCTTCATTATGTGACTTAGAACTCCTGAATTTGCTACTCTATCAAGTGTAGTGGTACTATCTATCTAGCAATGAAGCAACTACCACTTAGCTGACTCCTGCTTCTTACATCTTCAAATACAAAAACCAGTGGTTGCTAATCAAAACTGACCTATAGGACTTGTTTCTGGCCATAATGAAGTAATAGGAACTGGAGTTACTCTCCAACCTTCAAACAGGTAGAAAATGAGGGGAAGAAAAAAAAAAGAAATTACTATTTTAGATATTAGAAAAGTATAGGGTGTGACTTTTTCCAGAAGGAATTAAAAGTGATAATCCTAATTAACTTCCTGGAGAAATTGTACGCAGCAAATATAGAAGTATAATCCAAAGTCAAGGGATCTCACTAAGTTAAGAATAATAGTTCAGAGTCTGAGAATGCCACAGTGGCTAGAATTTTTCAGGACAGATTGCAAAAAGGGAAAGAACTGCATAGCAAGTACTCAGCCTATATTTAGACGTATGCCCTCAGCAGATCTTTGGTTGAATACTCATCTCTAAATGTATGGGGCAGGAAGTACCTTGGGAAAGGGAAAAATAACAAATGAAAGGAGTACTCAACACAATCTTGAGATTTCACAAAGAGCATGAAATTGTTCTAGTTCCCACTGGCTAGAAGGGAAAAACTTCCTTATATACGAAGCATAAAAGAGAATTATCAGAAAGACATTTCTTCAGCGACCAAGGCAAACTGATCCTAGAGCAAAGGCTACTTTGAACCCAACCTAACAAAGCTAATCAAACTGATTCCAACAAAATTAAATGTATCCCCAAACACCAACTATAAAGTACAGCAAAACCGACATTTGATTAAACTAAATTTTAAATGTTCAATAAGTAGCAACAAACTTCCAGGCATGAAAAAGGAAAAATAAAAAGCACATAAAATAGGGGAGAAAAAAATAGAAGGGCTGGGAATGTAGGTCAGTTGTAGAAAACTTACGCAGAATGCCCTGAGTTTGATCCTTCTCACTGAAAAAACAAACAAACAAAAGAACATAAAAAATAAACCAGAAATGACAGATAACAGAATGAACAGAAAGGATTTAAAAATAATATAAGTTCAAGAAATTAAAAGAAAGCAGAAACACAATGAGGAAGATATGAAAAAAAGACTCAAATGGAAATTGTAGAGTTTTAATTTGTAACACTCAAAATTGATAATATACTAATGGGTTATTAGTAGATTAACACAGGAAAAAAGTATGGAGGGAGAGAATTCAAAGTATTTGATACGTCGTAAGAACCTTTGTAAATGCTACAATGTACTCCTGCCCAGCACAATAACAAATTTTTTTTTAAAACCTGAAAAATACATAAAAAGCAATGACTTAAGAAGCAGATACTTGGAAAGATCAACAAAATAAACCTCTTAGCAGAAATGATAATGGAAAAAAACATAGTAAGAGAGAATAGTCATAAATTATTGATCCTTGCTATCAATTTCCCTAACCAAAAGTTACTGTCTCAAATATCTTATGTAATCTTTTTCATTCTTGTCTTTAAAATTTTCTCCTGGCCTCAACCTCCTTATGACATGCTTTTTCCATTATAATACTTTCTATTCTGAAAGAAGCTGAATTCATCTTAAGAGAATTTCTCTATAGTTTTTATTTAGTTTGATTCTTTCAAGAAGTCAATATGCTGTGTTGAAGTAACTTTTTAAAAGGCATTAGACAGTGCTGTTTGTTTTTCTACATAAAAGTCTGAGGGTCTAAAAATTCTTAAAAGTTCATAACTTAATCTCTTAAATAATCCTATTAGTTAAGATATAAAGATAAACTACATGAATTCTCCCCAGCTTTGTTTTACTCTAAAATATTTTCCCTGCTGAACAATGTGTGTGTGTGAGAGAGAGAGTGAGAAAGAGAGAAAGAGAGACAGAGAGAGACAGAGACAACCAGAGATGTTCTCTTGGAAAGGAATGAAAATTTAATTAGGAAAACCTTAAAACACAAAATAATAATCTCATAAATAATGAAATGTGGCAAAATCAATATACCAAGACACACAATTTAGTCTTTGATCTGTTTCAGTAACTAGCCAGCTCTATCAGCTTAAAAATTTAATCAGAGGTTCAGCTAAAATGCTTAATCTTCATGCTTTCTATAATTTCGTCTGACCCTAAAATTAATGATTCCAGGAATATATTATGGGCTCTTTGAAAACTTCCACATGGATATCCATCTTAGCAAGTTTAAAATAGATCACATAATACATACCTCCCACACTACTATCCCAGACTTTGATATAGCCAACAAAAAGCATCAACTTTACTGATGAAATAGAAATAAATCTACTTATACTCCAATTTTATTTATAAGATAGCTATAATAAGTAAAAATATGGCTATTAACAATGTATAAAAGACATTTGACAATGATAAAAGGATGAATTCAGCATGAAGTCATAACAATCTAAAATACATATGCACTTAATAAATTTCATATTAAATGAAAAGTAAAAACTACATAGTTGGAATATCAATCTTTAAGTAATTGATAGAACAAGTATAAATAAAATCAGTATGAATAGAGAAGACCTAAAAACACCATCATGAAATTTTAGACAAGTCACATTTATAGAACAGTACACCTGACAACTAGTGATACACATTCTTTTCAAGACCATATAGCAAACCCACAAAATAAATCTGGATAATTTTTTTAAAACCTGAGATCCTGCAGACATATTCCCATTCCCTATAACGTATTAAGAACTTTATCGCTTTCTTCAATCTTACATTCCCTTTAAGTACAATTCCCTTTAATTACAACCTTATTCTCTCCATTCTTTTACATCAAAATTTTTTTATTTGAAAGTGATTTATTTAAAATAAGACACCACAACAAATTATAAATTGTGAAAGCTAGAAAGCTATACAAAAATTTAAAATTCTGGAAAAAAAAAAACCCTAATTTTTAAATTACTTCACTGTGTGACGCACTTCTTTACAATGGTTGGGTTTTTCTTTTTTTGTGCTATATATTCTGACAATCTTTCCATGCTGATTTTAAAATATTGGTTTCTATAGAACTCACTAAGAATGTATAGAGAAAATAAAGAATTCATGTTTTCTTATAGTTTAGTTAAAATTTGTTTTTTGTTGCTGTTGTTGCTAATGGTTCACAATAAATGTACTGAACTTCACCACTCATTATAGATAACCTCATAACCTCATGAAAAATGTTATTAAGGTCAAGCAAATTTCTATTAAGTTTCTTTCACACCTAAGCTATAAATATCATCACATTCCTCCTTAGACTAGCTTCAGGATCCATGTAATTAAGTACTTGTATTTCCTCTAGTAACTATTGTACACAAGTATTGTGGTGAATCAAACAGGACATATTCAAGCCCAGTGCAACTTCAGGCTCTTTTTCTTTCTGCTAGGTTGTCTGGTGAACTGGAGTATTCTGGGAAAACACTTACAAGAAGAAAGCCAGCAAAATCCTTACGATAAATGAAAGTGACTATAAAACATATGAATACATCTCACTAAACTCAAACTAAACATATTCCACAAGTCAGTTTCCCCTTAAGCTACATTCCAAAAAAAAAAAAAAGAAAAAGTCTTAGTTATTCTAATGTCACTTCAGGAATGGAAATGTGATGGAGATGTCAAAGTGGAGACAGCAGTCTTAACCATCTGAGGTTAAAACACCTTACTTCTATAAATTATAATACTATATACGACCATGTAAAATCATTTCTAATGTCTTCTAACAGTATTGCAGAAGGGCTTAGGCAAGTGAAGAATCATTGTCTTTGAAACTTGAGGTTCACTAAGCTTAAATCATTGGGATTATGGTACATCATTTTCAATGAAAACTGAGAAACAAGATAAATTCCTTGTCCAAAGACATCACTGTTGAAGTTATCATATAATAAGGGATATGTGACTACTTAGAACTCATTATGTCAGCACTTTATATTTAATCTTCATAATATCTCCATGAGGTAGGTTGTGCTATAATTCCAATTAAAAGATACAGATTAAATTCTCTCCTCAAATGTACAGCTAGTATATAGTGGACCTTTAAGTACACTTTTTTCAGAATGCTAAACTGCCATAGAAGCAAGTCAGAGATCACTGCCTGAGTTTCAGTATGAAATAGAGGAAAGGAAATGTTGATATACTCACAAAATTAAATTTCTTTCATGTGAGTGCAATTGTTATGGAGTTGATTGTAGATAATTTTAGATGAACTGAAATACAAATTAACTCAGCTCAGATAAAAAAGTCCTCAACTTCCATTTCAGGATTATGACTTTCATGAGTAAATTATCAAAAGTATCACACCACATTTCCTGAAAGCTACTTCCTGCTTTCCTCACCTGATATTCAATCCCTAAACCATTGATAATTGGATTTGTGTCTTATTGCTCCAGCAAAACCAGTGTGCCAAGTGACCAGTAACTTTTTGGTTATTAGATCAAACAGATACTATCTAAAACTTAAACTGAGCATCTAACATCAACATAATGCTTTGATTAATAGCAAAGAGTATGGGAATGCAAATAACTGCTCAGGTGCTTACACCTGACTTGTGTTTATTTTCCCAACTATAAAATGAGACTAGAAATACCTGTTTAACAAGAATCTCAGGATTAAAAGTGAGGACATCTGAGAAGCACTTAACAGAGTGCCTACCAGATTAACAATCCAGATAAGAATTATTAATATTACTCACTTCTTACAACATGCCTTCCTAAATATCCAAAACTCTTGGTTTCCTCTAGACCATCTCAGTCTTTTCTTCATGCTACCATCTTTCACCAACGCCTACAACACCGATCTCTTCTCTAATTCTGTGGGATGGCTAAAACCTCTATGAGTAAGAGACAACTTGAGTTCTAAATCTGTTTGCCTATTGGATATTACCAGTTGGATTCTTTGAAAGACCTCCCAAACATACCAAAAACATCACTTTTTCTCCCTAAAGGTATGCCTCTTATTGTCTTCCCCAGGCTGGCTAAGAATCAGAAACAGTTCAGTTTCCTGAACTCCTCTTTGTCTCTTTAAGTCTAATTCTTCTCCAAGACTTATTTTCTTTGGGGGTAGGAGAGGTGGACTGAGGATTGAACCCAGGGCCTCAAACACGCCAGACAAGTGTTCATCACTTGAGCCACATCTTCAGCCCTTTTGTATTTTGTTTTTGAAATACAGTCTCCTTAACTTGGCCAGGGCAGGCCTCAAAAGAGATCCTCCTGCCTCTGCCTTCAGAATACCTGGGATTCAGGCATTTACACTACGCTTGGCTCTCCAAAACCTTTTGATTCTGTTTTCTATCCTATCAAGTCTGAAGCAAACTGTCAGATGTAAATTCTACCTTTACCACTTATTAGCTATTTGATCTCAGGCAAATTAACCTTTCTGAAATGCAGTATCTTCATTTACACAAGTGTGAGACAATAGCACCTATGTCATAAATCTTAGTGATAATTAAATAAGTTAATATACATAAAACTCCCAAAGTACTACATAATATATAAAATGAGCTCAATGAATGTTAGCTTATTATTATTATTCTATTACTGTTTTTCCATCTATCTTCTTCCCATCATTCCTCCTCCTTCTACCACTCTAAGTTTGCTGTATCTTCAGAGAGAAGGCAGAGTAGTTTGAACTAGTGAATCATATCTTTCTCCTGCTAATATCTGCTAAGAGTCTCCCATATTTTTAGGGTAACATCCAAACTCCTCAATATCAATATGACTGCTTTTACACAAAAGGAGGGTAAGATAAAAATCTGTCATCCTGACAAGTTTCAGTTCAACTTACTTGATCTAGAAGAAAAAAGCATTCTGAATTAAGACACTTCTTATCTGGATATGTCCAGGTTATATAATCATAACCTGGCCTAGGCCTGAAAATAGATCTGAAATCTACTTTGTGTAATTTCCTCACTGGCTCCCTTTAATAATTCAAGTGGCCTATCAGTTCTGCTACAGTGATGTCCAAAGCAAATTCAACGAGGCAAATTACAGCTGGTTGCTGAAGACATAAAGATCAGTGTATTTTTCAAAATATAGTCAATAATTTGTTTTATGTCTCTTTGACTTAGTTTACACTAGTTACCACTACTGGGGGACCAGTAAAATGAATTATTTTATAACTTTATTACATTTACCAACATAGCACTCTTCTAAGGAATTTAAACTTAATTCTGTTCTATTTAGCCTTTGTACTTGAAGTGACTAACAAACTTTACCACTGTAGTTTACGATGTAAAAGTAATTGGGAGAGAGCTGGAAAGGTTTTTGTTTTTTAATCCCTTTGGCGGTTATAATATTGCATAGGCAAATTGCACCAAAGCTGCTTGCTCCCAGGACCTATTTGTTCTATTTGTTGCCTCCTCCCTCCAACTCCTCAATAACGGAAAGAAATGATCACTGAACTGGTGCTATGTTGTGCTCTGTAGCACCAAGATTCCCAGACCACACGAGCTCCACAGAGCGGGGACTTGGATTTACCTATGTCTTTCTCCCAAACTCCAAGCAAAATGCCAAACACAGCAGCTTAATGAAAAAGACACATGGAACTACCCCCAATGTTGATCTAAACTGAATCAACCACTTCATAATGTCTATCCAGGGTCCGACCCACCTGGTCTCCACTAAACGAACTCCAAATCCACTTCGAAAATCACTCACCAACACGCAGGAAGCAGAACTGGGAAATGTTTAGACTGGCGCGCCCGTGACGTCACACGCACACCAGCGGTCAGCCCCTGCGCATGCGTACATGGTCACTAGGGTTTGACGCTCACGGAGGAAAAACCGCGCGATAAATCCAGGCCTAAAACGTCCCCCGAGATTTCGCGAAATACATAGAGATTAAGGAAATTGGGGCCGCCGCATAAGCTCCGCCCCCACCGGTCACTTCCACTCAGCATTCTCGCAACTCCCCTTAGCCACACCCCCTCATCGATTTCCCGCGTTCGCGGCAAGACGGGCCCCAGGAAGGGCGAGTCCTGCGTGCTGCGAGATTCCTCAACTGTGATCAGTAAGAAGAAACCTGGCGGATTCCGGAGTCGTTGGTTGGTTGTAAACTTCTGGCTTTTTAACTTACTCCAGGCCCTTTTTAACTTACAGTTCGGTTCCCCTCCGAAGTAAGCATTACAAGTTCTGTTTTTACAACAAAAAATATTTACGAGGGTAACCGTTATTTGAAGTTTTTAAGAGCAGTTTTCAGACATTGGCACAAATCCAGTAATGAATTATGCTATTTTCAAACTAGTGAAAGGAACCTTGTTATTAGTTTATAAGGCAATGATTTTGTGGCTTAATAAGACATTGTTAAATGTGAATCCTCTGCCAATTTCTGTTCTCGATCATTTGATGTAAGTGAAACCACTGTATTGTGAAACCACAACGTAATAACGAAGAACATGAATATTATTTGGACTAAAACATCTACTTTAAATACACATTTGCAGAAAGACGTAGCCAACTGTAATACCTATGTTTTCAACAGGGCACATTCAGAGTTAGCCATCTCCCCAATTCCTCCCCACTGTTCATATGCCAGGGTGACAATTAAGTCACAGCTCAGGAAAATCTATTTGAGCAAAGTTGTAAGAAAAGCACAGGCCCCATCCATGGTCCTCCTTTGGCCTCATCTAGCTGTGAAATAGTTTCTCCTTCCTAACTGATGGTCTCCACATGGGCTTTGGAACTTTCATGTGGAGATAGGGAACCAGGGAAGACAGGAAGGCTTCTGCATGCCTTTCCATAGCCATAAACGAGCAGAACAACACAGGGAACCAGAAGTAAACCAGTTAAGACCAGCAGCCACCAAGATGGTGTGAAAAATCTGAAAGAAGACTGTCCTTGAAACTCATTCTACCTTCATTGTGATTTGGTAACACAGCAAGACTGAGGGAAGGCTGTAACACAAGCATAGGCACATTTTGCGCCTGTGCGAGGAAAATCTCATCTATTTCTCAGGGAATATTCCCCATGAATATTCAAACCTTCCCACAAAGTGAATTGTGCATCTTTGTACCTGGTTTCTCTGCCAACTGAGTAGCCTGCTATACTTCTTCTGTGTGATAAACTTTCACTTTTCTTGTGCTTCAGAACTAAGTCCACAACTGATTTCTATCCTAGGAAATGGCCCACCCACTCAGTAACAATCTCACTCCATCAATAGTAATATATCTTCTCCCAACATTCCCTCCTTATTCTTTCCCATTTGAATTTAAATACATTCTTCTGGTAGTCTAAGTTTATTAAGAGCAGAGAGAATTGTTTATTATTAAATCCATGAATCCTATGCAGTGGCTGACACATTGTAGGTGATAAATATTTATTAATGAACAATGCTCAGGCAAAATGTTTCTACTTCCTCACTTCCAACATCCACTCTACCATCCCACTCACCCTCATGCCTTTAAACTGAAACTTCCCTTAAAAAAAACAACACAGACCTCTTTGTTGTTAAAGCAAAAGGGCACCTTAGTCTCAGCTGTTTGAAAGCATTTTCCTTCTACTACTCCATGAACCTAATTTTCCTCTTACACTCTATCAACTGATTATTTTAAATGTTTCTGTTCCTGATTTAGCATGTAAATGTCCATATGCTGCAAGATGTAATGAAGATACTTAACAGAATGTTATCATTTTTTGTTTGCCATGGTGGTGGTTCTCAATTCCTCTAGACTACAAACTCTTCCTGTATAACAAAGTATTTAGCAATCTCGTTTTTTGTTCATAATCTTCCAATTTATTGCAAAGTTTGGGATTCATCTGGCTGCAGAGCCTTCACTGCATTGTCTCACATTAGCGATTAGTTTCTAGAAATAAAGAAAATCAAACAGGATTATAGGGTAAAATTTAAAATAATAAAAGGGGGAAAAAGATTGAACCAACAAGAAAAGGCATTGAAGACATATTCCATTATTCTTTTTATCTGCCTATTGAAGCAGCATAAAACAGGTACTCCAAAGGTAACAATTAATGTAGTAACTATTACATGTTACAATTTTTAAAGATAATGAAAAAAATCTTTTGGTATAAAATCTATACTATAAATGCAGTCGATTTTAAGGAAGGTTAAAATGAAATTCTCGCTAATAGATAATGCACAACAAAAGTGTTTATTTTATTAGGTGATGCATAAATATAAGGATGTGGTGTGGTTATGATGAATAACAAATCAAATGAAAGAAATTAATCAGCAAATTTCTGGTGCTTTTTCCTCTAACATTTTCAAATTTTTCTTTACTACTTACTCTTTAATGTCTAAACATTGATATCAGTTGTCTAGTTCAACACTTCCAATTCATTCATTTTGCATTTTGGGATCATTAACCTATTCCTCTTTGTGATTCATTCATCCTGCAAGCTGTTGCCTCCCTGACATCATCTACTTAGACCTGAGATTTTCTAGTACTCACAGCTAGGCTACATTGATTAGAATTCATTCAATCTGTTTTATAGCTTTTCTGTCTAATCCTATTAAACATCTGGATGGTTTAATAAAGTTTCACATTTTTACACTGTTGTATAGTTGAACCAAGATATGACTAATACATCTCTATCAAATTTATAAAGAAACTATAAATTTAAGTGATAAGTTGTTGAATCACTCAATGCATATTAGGAAAAAATAAAAATATTTTTAAAGTATAATATGTGTAACACAAATTAAGAAATTCAGTGTCTATTGATGAGGTCTCCTCCAGCTTCTATATTTTAGTAGTAATTTTTTAAATTTGCATGAAGAACATCCAATTCTCTTCAAAATTTCCTCATTTAAAAAAATCCTCTTCCCTATCTAAGAAAAGAATACTCAAATTTTAATTATAAACAATAACTAAATCAATATTTTATATTGAATGGATACATGTAAGTAAATTATAAATATGTTCAAATATTTTAAGAAATATATGACTTCTCAACAAAAGTATTACAATACTACTTCCTTATACATAACAGTTTTTAAACAGTAAAAATGTCAAAAGCTTTTACTGTTTTTCATTAAACTCATTCAATAAGTATTCAAGTACTTTGGATTAAGCAGAGTTCTGGAGCAATAAATTGAGCACAATCAGGCCTGCACCCTCCCTGCTCATTTGTAGATTACAGTAAAAACAGAATCTTTTTAAAAATTCAGAAAAATCAGCATAAATTTTTAAATTATAATTTGAAGTACAAAGCTATAGAAGTAATAGGCAACTATAAAATGGAAGAAACTGACTATATTATTTTATTTTCTGTTGCTATAATGAAATGCCAGACTCTGGGGTGCTATATTTAAAAAATGGTTTATTTAAGTAACAGTTTTGGAGGTTCCATGAAATGGCACCAGCACAGCTCAACTCTGGTTAAGGCCTCTTGGGCAGATGACATCATAGAAGGAGCCAAAGCAAGAAAGATCATGTGGCAAGATAGGGAGCCACAGCAAAGAGAAGCTGTGAGAAATATGATGATCCCTTCCAAGGATACATTCCCAACAACCCAAATGACCTCTCAGTGGCTCCCACCTCTTAAAAGTCCTACCAATTCTTAATATTGCCACACCGGAGACCAAATTTCTGACGCATGAGCCCTTGGCAGACACACTCATAGCATAACACTGACCTACAGGAAGGTCACAGCAGTCTGTCCTGAGAGACTAAGAGTTAAAGCAAAATGATAATATAACAAAATAATAAAGGTGGAATGATTTTCTAAAGTAAATTTCAGTCCTATTACAATATATAACTTTAAACATAAAATACTCTGGGTTACTCAATATATCATTAGTCTTATTTCTCTTACTCTCTAAACACTGTGTCCAGCCTTTGTGTTGATTTTCAGGTCAAACTCATGACTTCTTTTGCTACCTCAAAGCTGTGCATTAACACAGATATAACCCTCACACTGGAAATAATTTTATGTTGTAATGCTCAGATATTACACAAGAAAATCTGAGAATATACTCAGAGTGAGCTGCTAAAAAACTTCTTTGACAGTAAACATACATATTGATATAAAAATACAAATGCATTAAATTTCACTCAAACATATCAAATTATTAGCTATATTTACAAAATAGTGTATTATATTAATGTATATATTTATGAGAAACCAAACTATAAACACTCTGTGACTCAGAGACCCTGACATTTCAATAAGGTGGGATTAGTTTGATGATCCTACAGCATAATATAATCCAGCCACATAGCTAGATGTGCCAGGTCACCACAGAGATAAATGTGGATGCCCCTACATTTGGTCTAAGGCATTAAGTCTCCCGAATATTTGCCTGTTAAATGGTAATACTTTTCTCAGCATTTAATCAGACTTCTTTGACTGCTTCCTTTGTTGGTTTTGGTTTTTTTCTGTTTTGATTTGGATTAGAAACAGATTATAGCTATGGTCCTTTTTAGCTTTCTCATGATATCTCATTTTCTAAGAATTTAATTATACTCCGTATAATCATTATTATATATCTGGTGCTTCTGAAAGCATGGTTGGAGAATATCTCTTTTATCTTCTCATCTAAGCATATACTCTAACTTTTCTAGGGATATGTTTACCTCTTTTGAAGCAAAAGGGAATCCTTTAATTCCTGCCAGTGAACTTAATGGCCTGCTAACAGACAAACCATGCACTAAGTAAAAGCAGAAAGGCTTGAAATAGAAAATAAAAGTTTGGAAACCAGTTTATCACAACAGAAGATCCAATAGTGTGGAGCAAGGCATGGACTAAGCAAGAAGGATCAA